AGTGTCGCCCGCTGGTAGGTACGCCAGTGTTCCACAACCTGTCAGAGGGTGAAAATGTGACCGATGTACCCTCGTTCAGGTCTGAAACATACCTGGTTTTCTCGAGCTTCATTTAGGGAGTGAATAACTATGGGCCCTAGGAAGTTAGAAATGATACTAGTCAAAATAATCCCTCCGTATATGTCACAGGAAGACCTCTCCTTTCTTATAGACTGGGGTGATCAGTGAAGTAGACCAGTATAACGGCATTACCTCTGATTCCCATACACTACCTAGTACCTCCATCCCTTGAATCAACAGTTCCCTACCTATATTTGAAAAATTTAGGAAGGAGACTGTCACGTCCTGATGTCTGGTATCGTTTCAGGTTCGACACAACTTTCTCAACTCTGAGAATAGTTGGAACACCGACATCTACGTCCCATTCAGGCTGGATGTTGGGCAGCTGAGGACCAGTTGAACTGTCCTACCAAACATCCTGATTTGAGGTTACTGGGTCCCTCCGTTTTCGGTGAGGATGTCACTAACCATCGTCTTCTAGCGGACACCTTTGATAAGCCTAAATAGTTGCCAGGTGTTACCCTACGCTGATGTCTTCTCCATCTCTCTTGTCACCCACCACTGGTTGCGATAATTGCGAGGACTCTTGGTCAATTTTACATTTAAGTTGCTTTTGTTTTTCATAGTGGTCCATTCCCGATGGAGTCTTTACGCATCTGGCATCATTTGCGGAAATTCACTGAAGTTTTCCAATCGCTGGGTGTTGGTTACCAACAGTCTTTACCCCTGTTTCGAAGACAGACTGAATATCATGCCTAGTTTCTTCAAGATGAGAATAGATGTTACGTTCAGATAAATGCCTGGCTATTTCCACTATAAATGTGTACTTGATGATCTTATCTTCCAATGGACCACGCACAGATTTAACTGCCCTCTATTTCTTGCGACCGGTAAGGCACAGACATACAACTGTGTGTAATAATATTGTCTGTTCCTGGTAAAATGCAGACATACAAGTACCTGTAGTACGGCACGATCAAAGTCCAAACACGTACTTCAGAAAGAGTAGCAATCCTCCGTCCAACGATGGCTTATAGCAATATGATATCGGAAGATCCCAGGTGAAAAAGTGACTCCTTATGCTTGAATTAAGTGCTGGCCCGAAAAAAGTAGTTATCAGAACAAAATTGCACTATTCAAATCTGCTAAGCGAACTAAATATATGAAAATTGTAACGGGCGACCACTGTTATCGGTCCGTCGGGATATGATACTGTAGATACCTCGAAGATCCCTTCTTGGTGGACTCAAGTCTCCTACTTCAGTGTTGAAGTCACCCACGAGTATGAGTATGTTTAAAAGTTCCGCTTTTAGTAGTGAAAATGAGTTTTGATGGGATTCATCCTTTGCATCATATGAACTGCAGTTAGTGGAGTGGGTACGTAGGTGAAGATTAGGAATAAGCTTCGGTTAACCTCACGATCATTTCTGGTTCTTGCAGATGCTTTCAGTCGAACAGTAGGCAGATGGCTATGCCTACACCAGCCAGTCCACGAGGGCCAGACAATGAGTCTCTAGAAACTCGTCAAGTGAATCTTGAAGATTCACCGTATGAGCAGATAAGATCAAGCTAATAACCACGCCCAAATCCTATATAAGTGTCTCAGAAACACGGCGTACACCCAAGATTCCAGAGTTCTGGCGAGCAATGCACACTGTCCGATCTAGCATAAAGTTCGGATGCTGAAAGCTCCGATATGAAATCGACAGTGCGATCTTACGAAGCTGGAAATGAGATTTCGATGGCCTGGATCGTTGTAGAGTGAGAGATTGAAGAAGTCGTAAGAGGCGCAATATTGGTAGCATGGGGTGAAGGTAAAGGATGAGATAGAGGTAAGGAGCATGGGTTATGTTTGATTGTATCTTGTATACTACTGGGAGAGTGTGGGTAGTTGACACCTCCCGCTGGCTCATACTGTGGAAGTTATTTTGGTAGCGTACCAAGAAAATATTGTGTAACTCAGAGTCCATGTGACATCTGCTTGAGACCTGCTACACATAACCTCTTGCAGATTGTTGTTTGAAGAGAACATCTAAACCACCGGCACCGGAAAACCGTGGGCAGAGACGAGTGTGATATTTCTGGGGTCGACCTTTTTTAATCCCCTCTTCCCACGAAAAAGGTAGCACCAAGGTGGCGCTGCTGGTTTTCCGACGGAAACACCTCACTGTTGCTACACCCCATCCAGTCAGTAGTACGACTTCGTTCTCACAACGTAGCGATTTACATTACAACTGTAAGTGCTTTTCGCCTTAGCATGGTAGGACGTCGAGGGAACAAGTGTTCCAGACAGTGCAGGTGGTTGGGTCATTGTGATAACCAAGCCAAACAGATAATGAATGCATACCCTATCATAGTGTCTTTTCATTTTAGTTTATGTTAGCTTTAGGTTCAGTTCGACACATCTGAAAGAGCACTGGAAAAAATTATGACACTTATAAGCTGAATTTTCCAGTTTATCGTATTTCTTGTTAACAGCATATAAGGGTTTAAAGCACTGCCGGTGTCCCACATCTTTCCATGTAAGCTTAATGTGGTACTCTAGGTTAAAAGGATTACAATAAATGAAGAGATTAATTAAAATGACTTATTTCACAGCCTGTTTGAGCGGAATAATGACGTCAGTCATACTGGAGTGGGTGCTACTGATAAGAATGGATATAAGTAGTATATAATGAGGGGTGGGCAGAAACCATAGGTAATTGAGAGTGAAGGGTAAATATTCTGTATAGAGAAATCTAGGAGACAACCTGGGCATTTGAAGAGCATAACAAGGCAGACGAAGAAAAGGAAACGGAAAGGTTGCTGTATCTCAGCAGTAATGTATAAAGTGTCATAATAAACATTCTGCGTTTCACCATTTCCGCCTTGTTACAATACTACACAGAGCTGCCATGGTAACATGCCGGATACCAACAGCAGCTCAGAGTGAAAATCGTCAAAAATTATTAGTGTTTATGCTTTTAGATACTGTTTGTCAGAAAATAGTGATTGCAAGAGTCAAATTATAGCCATGCATCCAACTTACCAGTTGACCACGGAAGGCATCAGTGAGCACAATTTGACTTAATCAACAAACTAACTAGATGCTGCCAAGTAAGTGAACACAAACTCAACACATACTTACCTGGGAAACACACAATCAACACATTGTTGTAGAGTTCTACTGAATGCAATCATGCATACACGAGATACATTTTTAATTTAAGATGCGATCTAGCAACTAACTATACAGGTTGGTGTACTAAGACCGAATCCTTGAAAATGTACTTAGCAGAAGAGAGTTAAGAGCATGAAATTCCAATGATAAAATGCACCTTTTTGCATAATATATGCAATGATAAGGAATATTTGGAAGCCAAAAGTTAGTTTTTATAGCATAGAATAAGTTTACCAAAATCTTCACAAGAAGTCGTAAACCTCTGAAGTCTTTTTCAACTAATCCTTTTGTTTCGAAGTAAGGGATAAAACCAATACTATGTTCAAATGAAGAAACGCCTTGGAACAGCCAAGGTCATTTCAAACAAATATATATATATATATATATATATATATATATATATATATATGACTGCGGAGGACTGGATCATACAGCAAACTGTGAGGAGCGAGAAGAAGGGTTTACGCTGTTTGACCGGTGAAAAGACCCTAGAAGATTTGGATTTTGCCGATGACTTGTGTCTAATGTCTTTTGGCTCAAACTCGAAGATCGACAGGCAAAAACTAACAAGTTGGGAGAAGAGGCAAGGCAGGGCAGCGAAAACGGAACTTTCTTCAGGTGAACGTAGAGAAAATAGAGGTCATGAACATACCCAAACACCGCCAACAACAAGCACCAATCACCACCATCTAAAGGAAGTTGTCTCTTCCATCCACCTTCATATGCAGCATTGTTTCAACTACAAGCGGCACAGATACAGATGAGGATGTCAAAGCCAGGATCGGAAACACAGCAACACAGGCCTTCATTAACCTGAAATCAGTGTGGAGATCTCGACTCCACTCAGCATAAAACGTGAACAAGATACGGATTTTCAACACTAATTCAGTCAAGTCAGTGCTTCTATGTGGTGAATGAGAGACTTGGCGTGTCACGAAAAGCATTTCCAACAAACTACAGACATTCATCACATTAACAGCTGACGCCTACGCTCACTTCATACTGATACTGAAGATCAGATCACTGGGATAATAACAATAAGCAACAAGGAATGCTGGCCGGCCCCGCAACGAACTAACAACCTATCACACTGTTGTGATGCCTCAGTTTTGTATAAAACATTGTTATCGATCCAAACATTTTCACGTGTCATTCCCACATTATTTTTACGGTATGACTAATAGTCTATTTCTGCTCCAATGTAATGTAATTTGCTGATTGGTTAACTTTTACTCTTACTATGCGAATTTCTCCAGTTGCGGACATGGTCAGTTTCCATGTGTATACTTATTCACGTGTATTGGATTGATTCATTGTTATTATATTATATTCTCGGAGTAATACACTCTCCCATCTGCTAGCTTCGGTCTTCTCTCTATTCGTCCCGGGGTTGCAGTCAGTGACTTTTGCGTACCAAGTTAGCTGTCAGCTAAGCGCGCGTATTATATTCGTTTCGGAATGAATATATATATATATATATATATATATATATATATATATATATATATATATATATATGCCGACCATTGTGGGGTGGAATCTCAAGGTTATTTTTAAGACGTCCACATACACATAACTCAAATTATACCAAGTGGTCTTTACAAGAATATAACAAGTGACAACAGGGTTGTAACAAGTAGCGACAAAGGTCACAACAGTGATCCTATCTTCACCCGTAGCAAAACGTGAGAAATATAGGCAAACACTAATTGTAGGTGCAAGAAAAATTCTCAATCCAGTTGAGGAATGGATTTCCTCATTTTTGCAGCCCGCAAAAAACTCAAAAAATAAATATATATATTTTCAAACTTCAATATCTTATCTTTACAACAAATTTTACTTGTGTTAGTGCATATTATCTAACTGGACAACAACAACAACAAGAATAAGGGAAAATATTGTTCGGAAACAGGCCATCGAAAACACCTATGACATTGATTACCGACAGTGATGCGAAGAAAGAAAGAGAAAGGATGAAAAAAAAATTAGAAAACCGTACATACATCAAAGATGAGAAACGCAAAACAAAACCCAGAGTTTATCGTAACTAAGGAAAAGGGGGTAGGTGGGGGTGGGGGGATAAAAGAATAACGACTTTGGTCAATTCGGAAAGCATAAATGCTGCTTTCACAAACGGAATACAGAGGATTAAGAGGAAACATAGGAATGATTCAAGATATCATCAAGTAACCAGATGAAGTGGCAATAGTTATTTTGAATTCGTCCTGGAGCTTACAAGTCGGTAAAACATATATATATCTTCTGATATAAGTGTGACAGTAGAGACCTTCAAAAATGCCTTGCTTGAAATAAGTTTCAATACATCTATAAGCGATTAATGGGAAATATAGTCAAGAAATCAAGGGTGGGGAGATGTTGAAAAACTGAGAGAAAAGGGGGTGGGGACAGGGAATGGAACAAGACTGACTGTAAAAGGGTAAACCATTTTCTGCATACTTCGCCTTAGACTATTCATCTCTAGGCTATGATAAAAAAAAATCAGAGTTGGGGAGAAGATAAGCCTTCTTAAGAGAATCAATATATAGAAGGTGAGTTATAATCAAAATTCGAAAAATTCGATTGATCTCCATGCAGAAGTAGTGGACGATCTTTAGCCGGTGTAAGAACAGGCCGTTCCTTGGTGAATTCTTCATCGAAGTTAGATACATCTTCAGGATTGGACTACAATTTTGTTGTTGAAAAAAAGCAACATTTTCGTGAAACAAACGAATAAAGAATCATGCAAAAATAGCGTTTTACAACTTAAATATGCAATCGCAGAATATAATATTAAATTAGTCAGTGCTCATGAGTGTTGCCAAGACAATAATTTAAAAAAAAACACCTTTAACCTCAACCGTCGAAAACAAAATTGAAATCCACCCAAGTAACTAAGTCCACTTCCGTGCAGTAGACAATAAAGCCATACATTGTATGAAGGCTAACTTGATGATACTACTGACTGTTCACACTTCGGCAGATGAAGCGAGGTTCAAGCATGTGACTCATTTGTGGAAAGTCAACTACATAAAAACCAATCGACATACGTGAACCCAGACAAATTAGTTCTGTTCAGTTTGAGCAGATCAGAAACAGAAATATGTCAAGTTCACTTTCTCACCTCTTAACACCACAATGAAATGAAGTTATAAAAGACAACTAGAGAATTATAAAATTGAAGCGACAGGCAATATCGAGGCATCCGCGCAGGAGCCCATATACCAGCAGAGACCGATCACAATTCGGTCCAATCAACGACGGGATAATCCAAGTAACAATATAGAAACTATACACGTTGCAGAAGAAGTGTCTATTGTAATTCAGTGACCTAGTGGATAACGCTCGATCTCGGGTTCGATTCTTAGCGGGGACAACATCACCTACTGAGAGGCAGGTACACTTGTCTGACGAGTCTCAAATAGGATGAAACGCGCGTCCAAGATTCCACTGCTAGCCATTATACATCATTAGTGGGAGAAATATAGGTTCAGAAGAACTAATGTATTCAAATGACTAATTGAAAAGGATTTTGACAATCTATAGACCATAGCCCAAAAGTATTTTACGATCCAATGCATAAACATAACTCTTCAGGCTTAAAAAAACAGGCAAGCATTATCATGTATAGCTATTCGTCATTTTCTTCGACGTTTCTCAGCTTAGAGTAAATATATTCTACAGCAATACGAAACCTTGCCTTGGCAACATTATGATTAGTTGACCATAATAAAATCGAGATTGTAGCAATTCCTCTCATCGCAATACATGCCAGTTGAGCACACAACCCGGAGATTATGATGATTAGAAATTTCATAATGAAAAAAGGGGAATATCGAAGGGTTACTTACAACAACAGGGATGAATGGTGGCTTGATTTTGCGCTCTAAGAGAGCTGTAAAATCTAATTTTCGGAAGAATGGTTGCCTTTTAATCTCTTCTGCATCTTGAGCTGAAGATCCTAACCGTTGTGCAGCATTTCGTCGAAGTAGACGTCGCATTATTATTGTAGCTTCCATACTTAAATGACGAGGATAGCGTACTTCTTGATTGACAATACTATCAAAGATTTCTTCCTCACTCTCACCTGGAAAAGGACACTGAAAACAGAGAGATAAGTACAAACAAAACTGGAATAATAATATGCTACAACCGTAGTATGAGTTTTATATGGTAATCAAAATGTAATGATCATTAATAATGCAGGGAATAACATTTTAATACTACTACTTAGCTAATTATCCCAACTATTTACTACTTACCCTTATGCATTTTTAATTCAACTACTTGTTTTAACACCGACATGATGTCAGTCCATGATGAATACTACTTCTAAATTAAAAATCCCTATTCATCTCAAAAATACATTACTGTATGGTGCTCATTAGTGACTTGCTTCCAGAAGGGTATCACGAAGCTCTAATGAGAAGCCGTGACCTGTGAGGTCAACCAATCGTATGTGAAGTGGATGCTAACTGAAAACCTTGGGTGACAGTCGCACTATGTCGTGAATTGACAGAAGTTGGAAATTGTGAACCACTGGAAACCGACCCAGTGGCTGAATGGTTAACGCATTCGGCATGAAACCTGAAGGTCCTGAGTTCGATCCCTAGTCAGGTGGTGAGTGCTTACTGCCGAAGAGTCCCATACTAGGACGAAACAGCTGTCCAGTGCTCCCGGACTTTCAGTGGTTCCTCAACTGATGTCAGTCCATGATGAATACTACCTCTAACAAATGTTTACCATTTGACTATCTAGGATAGCCGTGGTTTGGGAGGCTAGATCCTTGGTGATTGGAGTGAAATATTAAAAAAATCTGGTCAGCAGTCGGACTTCGTAGCTCAGTTGGTAGAGAGCAAGGAGTCGGAAACCCGGAGTCCGTTGGTTCGAATCCGGCCACGTCCAAATTTTCATCTCACCTTCAATCACCACCCAACATAAATAGGTGGTTGATGGAATCAGAGAAAGTATCGAAATAAAAATGCCACATCACAACGGCTGATGCAGAGAAAATCAAATCATTCTGCATGATCCACAATATACTAACACAAATTGTTTCCCTCTAACTTAACCAACGACTACTATAAAAAGGTATATGCTATACAGACAATTTCGTAAAAATAACCATTGTTTATAGCAGGCCAGTTTATCTGACAGACAGAAAAAAATCAGTGTAGAACCTTGCACACAAGTCCACTGATCCAAGTCGCCCTATTTCGCAGTGTCATACAAATAACAAGTGGATAAGAAAAACTGATATCAAAATAGACAAAGCTGTAAGGGAGGGAAAGGGAATTTAAAAATTAAGGTTAGTCAAAACATTCAAGGTTTAGAGGACATCGAAGACCGGACACATCTGCGTCATTGTGATCAATTTTTGGCTATCTCAACAAGAGTCCTCAACCATTGATTCTTATCATCTCGACAATTTACCTTACACTGCTCAGATCAACAATCAGGGACTTTATCGACTGTTGCCACGCCTTGGTCTGGTCAACATGAGCCCTCTTCCAACTTAATTCAAGTTTTCCGAAGATTGCACGACGAGGTAGGCCATGGTTCAGCATGCGTGGTACATGTCCATCGACCGACTTGCCTCTCTTATTTAGTACCTTTCACTTGACCTCCACACTGGTCACACGGTGATTCCACCTAACGCCAGTAATGCTGCGACGATACCTATGATCCAAACCCTGTAACCACTTCATGTCTTCTACTTTCAACAGACATGTCTCACAGCTGTATAACAGAACAAAAAAACTGCAGAGCAGTATACTCGTCCTTTGATACATAGTCGCATATCTCGCCGACATTATAGGTAACGCAAGTTGGCAAATGCCAAGTAGGCCTTCTGTATCCAAGCCGAGATTTTATCAGCAACTAATTTGTTCGGACTCATGTAACTTCCCAAGTTAGTGAAATGGTCAACAGATTCAACCACTTCACTCCTTTATGCTTAAACTAAGAGTATTTGCAGACAAGTCTTGGAAGATCATCTTATATTTGCTTATCTATATACGCTTTACGACAGAAGAGAAGCGACTAACCAATTATGAAAGAATGAGTGCTTCATAAATTGCTTACCTCACCAACAAGCATTTCGAAAATGAGTACACCCAAGCCCCACCAATCTACAGCACGCGTGTAAGATGAATCTGTAAGGACTTCTGGTGCCAGGAATTCAGGTGTACCACAAAATGTAGATGTTCGATCATCTGGACCCATGCCTTCTTTACACAGACCGAAATCAGCCATTTTTACAAATCCCTCTGAATCCAAAAGTAAATTATCCAACTTCAAATCCCTAAAATTTGTTACATAAATACAATAAAGGAGTGCATATTGTGGAAAACACTCACAGTTATGCGAGAAGTGAGAACAAAATAACAATTTCAGCTTGACTGGAGCTTAGAAAGAAGACTGATTGAGCGAGAGAAGAAATATATTCCTTTTCAATTACGTCTTCATCTTGGGCTCTACACTAATAATATAGTTTTACAATTCAATCAAATTACCAATCACGTGGTGATGTTTCAGAAATAATGATGTAAATAAACCATAGTTACTAAAATTGGAAATATGAAGCAGGTTATTCTTTGGTAAATGGAGTGACTTTTAATGAATGTTCAGTCATTCACAATCAGTTATTACGTAATAATAAGAAACTAAATGAATATTGATAGAAACAAGAAGGGGAAGAGGTGTACAAAGTAAACCTAGAAGTTACATCATGTTGACGGCCACGGTAATGAAAGTGGTCGAACAAACTTCTTTTGGATACAAAGGCTTGTAAAGGTGGATTGCAATCGCCTCTCCTATGTGAAGTAATCGAGTGCATAATCCATATGGTTAGTTAATTGGAATATGATGGATGATTTTGAAAGCTTTTCTAGTATCAACTTGATGTCCTGTGTCAACTAGGTGTCCCAGTATGGGGTTCTTTATTGTTCTAATTTGTCCCTTTACCAACCATCATGGGTGGTGCTCAGAAATTTGACGATGGAACTGCCTCATTGTACGCCCAATATAACTAGCTCCACAGGAGCAGTTGAGTTGATAAATGCATATACAACTGGCAGAATCAGACAGTTTATCTTTATTCCTTACACCTAGAATCGCACGGTTGTAGAAGATGGGACATAATTTAGCGGCTGGGAATGCTTTTTGCAAGACTCTTTTTATGCGTTATGTGATGATCTCACTGGCAATGTCACTCTTATATTCCAGCTTCAAGATATGCTTTTCAGGAACTGTTGGCGTTCTTGTCTTAACCCTCGTAATATTTATATGCTTAGTTACAAACTTGTCTAGGTAACCATTCCCGCTAAGCAGATCACGGATGGTGGCGCACTCTTCCTTTATAACATCATCCGAGCAAATAGCTGATGCACGGTATGCTAAGTATTTCACTAGGTTCCTTTTGTATTGGAGGGGTACGGCACTAAAAAAGTGCATGTATTAACCTGTTGATGTTGGCTTTCTACATACACTTCGTTTCAGGGTTCCATCTAGCTTTCTTACCAACAGAACATCAAGAAATGAGAAACTGTCATTTTTCTCCGCTTCTATTGTGAATTTGATTGCCGGATGAACATTATTGAATTTATTCAGAACAGCATTCTTATCAGTCTCACTTTTGAGAACTATAAAGATATCATTCATGTAACGACAATATAACTCTAAACGGCTAATGGTATCGTTCAGTAGACCATTCTCTAGTTTTGCCAGGAAAAAACCCGCTAATAGCGGGCCATTATTTCTGAAACACCACCACGGTGATCGGTAATTTGATTAAATTGTAAAACTATATATTAGTGTAGAGCTCAAGATGAAGGAAGACATAATTGAAAAGGAATATATTTCTTCTCTCGCTCAATCAGCCTTTTTTTCTAAATGTTCAAATGGGAATATTCAATGTATTAGCTGGAATTATACACTGAAACTAGTATCAACTGAAAATACTACTGAATCACAAATACCTGTTTTAATGTTATTATCAGTGCTTCTATGTGATGGTTGAGAGACTTGGCGTGTCACGAAAAGCATTTCCAACAAACTACAGACATTCATCACATTAACAGCTGCCGCCTACACTCACTTCATACTGATACTGAAGATCAGATCACTGGAATAATAACAATAGGCAACAAGGAATGCTGGCTGGCCCCACAACGAACCAACCAACCGACAACAACCTATCATCCAACAAATATACGGAAAATGAAAGTGGAGATGGATTGGATTGGACATAAACTGAGAACACCGTTTGAGGATACCACGCGTCAGGCCAGGCACTCGAGTGGAACCCAAAGGGGAAACGACGAGTTGGGTGTCTGAGGTGAGGGTGATATGGAGGAGATTAAGTGAGGAAGAAATGAAAGCTTCTGGGCAGTGGTGGAGCCAGGTTGAAAGACTGCAGAGAAGAGAGTGAAATGGCGACGTGTTAGTGAAGCTCTATGCTCCACTAGGAACCCAAGGAACGAATAATAATATAAAAATAATGTTTTTGAATGAGTTTTGCGTAGTATTTAACCTACTTTTACCTATGTGACTGCATGAATCATCACATATCCTGAGAACCTGCATCCTCGATGATCAAAGGCAACAATGCGAATTACAATACGATCCCGGTATTCACGTGTCCGAGTTTGTGTATCATATGATACCATTTGGTTGCTCATACCATGACAGTTGATGCGTGATTCACCGAACGTATAACCTCCCAGACAAACGGATAGAGATAATTAACGTGGAACCTCACACGCAAGTGCATCGAATCAAGCTGCCACACTTCACAGTAGTACACAAAGAACAGGTGGATAGAAAAAGAGTAATATCAAAGTAGATAAAATTAGTATGAGGACAAACAATCTGAAGATTACGGTCAGTGCAAATAGTCAAGCTTTAGGTGTCAAGAAGTGAATGCATCTGAGCTACTGTGACCGATTTTCAGTCACATCACCAAGAGTCCTCAACTACTCATTCCTATCACCTTGGAAGCCCCAACCAGATAGTTTACATTTATCTCTCCACACGACTCAGACCAACAGTAAGAGACTTCATCGACTGATGACACGTATTAGTATGGCCATTCTGAACTCTCTTCAAACCTAATCCAAATTCCCCCACCATGACACGTCGAGGTAGGTGGTGGTTCAGTATGCGCAATACATATCCATGTCATCTCAGTCGACGAAGGTTCACAACATCATCAATCGACTTGTCTATCTTACCTAGTACTCTTTGTAGGACCTCAACATTGCTCAAACGATGATTCCACCTAACGCCAGCAGTGCTGAAAAGACACCTGTGATCGCTTCATGTCGTTTACTTTTAACGACCATGTCTCACAACCGCATAACAGAACAGAATGGATTGCAGAGCAGTATACTAGTCTTTTGATACATAGTCCGATATCTCACTGGCACCACAGATAATTCAAGTTAGCAAATGCCAAACGGACCTTCTGTATCCGAGCTGAGATTTAGTCAGCAACGAGCCCGTTCAGGAAGATGCAACTCCTTAAGTGAAGTAGTCGATATATTCCACCACTTCATTCCCTATAATTAAACTGGGAGTACTTGCAAAAGACCAGTTATGCCTGGAACATCATCTTACATTTGACAAGTATGCTAAAGATACTCAGACTTCTGCTCAAGGAGTTAAGGAGACGCTACATTTTGTCAGCGTCTTCACTAAGCAGGACAAAATCGTCTACATACTTCAAGTCAACCAGATGACTTCTAGGTAGTAGGTAAATCCTGGTGAAATCAGATGTCCTGAAAGTTATGCTCATTAGTACGTCCATAACGAAGTTAAACTGAGACAGTGATAGTTTGGATCCCTGATGGACACCATCAGTTGTCGTCAGTTCACATGACAACTCTCCATAAGCCCAAACACCGGTGTATGAATTCGAGTAGAGGGCTTTGATTAGCGTTATATATTTGCTCGGTACTCGTTTTACAGTCAGACAGTGGCACAACAATATATGGTTAGCAGAGTGAAATATCACCTCCAAGTCAAGATCAGGTACGCAAACCAATACGTCATGTCCTCTGATTTATGAGATGCAGTTTTCCACTGGAATTATCATTTTAGTAAACGAAAAACCACATCTTAGATTAGTTGCAGTAAAATGTATTCCAAACAAGCGTACAATTGCATGCATATATATACTGTCTATTGAAGTCGCTGAAAGTTGGCCGTTGCAATCGATTCTAACTATAACTAAAACTGATGTCTAGAAACACTTTACAATAGACTTTATTAAAATATGGATTATTGAAGTCTGATTTCTATAAAATGTACACTCAGATGATTTTCTAAATTGTACTGCTGCCTTCAAGAGGAATAATGATTTCAACTAACGTATGTTTTTACAGTTCAACAGTAACTGTCTAATTGTAAATCAACTTTTTTGAATATTACCTAGATAAAAATCACATGGTGATGACTGTTGTAATCCTACTGTTTGCTGAAAAACAAAAATATATTTGGCAATGTACAAATAGGGTCACAGTAAAAGAAGTTACACTTTGAGAGGTTATTAATCTTACAGTGAATATTTTATATAACTGAGAAATCGATATATTATAGTGGAAGGCAAAAACTGACTAGGACGTTCAATGCTGTAGTCTCAGAATACATAGGTATGCGCATATTTCTATGGCATACCAGCTAACTGGCTAATCTGTAGATAGATAAACAAACAAACTTGAATAACAAATGACATGTGAGATATGAAATGAGGGCAAAATCTCAAGGGAAATTAGATAAGATTCACTTTAATAGAAGAGAGAGGGTGGGGGTAGAGAGAGTTTTTTCGGTGAAAGAACTTCAAGCAAATTATTTACAACGTACAGAAATGATGTTTGTTCTACCTACAGTTCTTAGTTAAAATATCCATGAAGTATCAGCAAAAATTATGTCCTAGACAACGAATACACAAGGTTTAAACTGTACACGAAATTTTTCACACCAAAGATAAACAAAAAATAAAACACAGCGGAATTAATTAGATAAAGCAAAGGAAAGAACTTGTATGACAAACGCCACAGATCTTTGGTGAAATAATGATACGTATTTCACTGTGAAATACTTTATTGTAACACAATAAAGTAGAATTACGTTGCATAAGATTTAAATGAACACTAGTAAAAGACAACCCACTTACCGATAGACAATTTTCTTTGAATGAAGAAACTCGATACCTAAAACAACGCAGCCAGCATAAAAGACGGCTCGTGGTTCTTTAAACACATCTTGCTGAATATGGAGCATTAGATCACCACCCTGAGCATACTCCATAACAAACATTACATGTTCCTATTGCCAAAAGAAATATTAATATGAAGTAAAACAATTTATACGATAGCAAATAAAACAATTAATGGAGTTGTGCTTTAGATGCATGCCGACAATACCATCAACCTAGTCGATATAGGCTGCTCTGCAGGTGCCTCGATATTGTCTGTATTTTCAATTTTGATAGGAATGATGGGTAGTGGCTGGCAGTGAAATCTAAGTCATGCGTTTCATCCTATTTCGGACTGGTCAGCTGGGCGTATGTATGCCCCAGTGAGTAGTGTTCTTTCCAATGAGACTCGAACGCAGGACCGATCACCTCAAACGCCAGGGCCACTAGGCCACCGTCATCAATATCAAAATTGAAAATACAAGAAATATCAAGGCGTCCGCGCAGGAACGCATATGTCAATAAAGACCGATCAACCACGGGATAATACAAGCAACAACATGACTCGATGGCCTAGTGGAAACAAGAGTACTCACTGGAGTGTAGGTACAGCCAGTTGACGAGTCCCAAATTGGATGGAACACGCGTCCTGGATTCCACTGCTAGCTACCATCCGTTATTAATTAATATGAGGATATTAACTAGTTGGAGATAATGATAACAGATAATTGTCCTGAGGTATATAGAACCATAATGGAAACCGACCAGTAAAAAAAGGTGGTGGGGAATAAGTGAACGATTGATTGACAAGTTTTTATGGAAGAAATGTAAAACAACGGTTACAGTACTATAGACTGGCAAATCATTACCAACTGAAGTGGTAAAGTGTAGAACATGATAGATTACAATCGACCTGTCGTAGGAAATAAAAGTAAGCGCAAAGTTGTAAGAGTACAGTGTAAAGATGCTCCACAAACAGTTGCACAAAGAAATGACACCTCTATAAATTTATACCACATTGTCAATTGACAAATTTCATAGTGATATAAAGAATATTGATCATTTTACTTGTGCATTAAAAAAAAATCCTAAACATTTTACTCTATGATGACACTGTTCTGTTTATAAGTTTGGTCCTAGATGACATGACCTTATCCACAGGTAAATAAAACACGGTTGTCACACCATCAGTAGAGTTGAGGTTCATTGGTTTAGGGAGTTGAATTCCCAACCAGTAGGTCGCGTATTCGAACACTTCTCCATCTACATCTACAGAGGTTTGGGTGCACTCAAGTACTATCATTAATAATAGTAACATTCACTTTATTCCAAACAATTTGTGGTACACTTTGGAATTCTCAGCATGATATACTGCAACAACAACAACAACAAAGTATGTGTGTACGTATATACTCCTTTGCAACATTTCGAATTGTGTTATTATAACAACTGAAGTAATGTAAAGAATATTAAAAAAAGACGAGAATATTTTCACATTGCTCATTAAATTATTGAAATCAGATTGGTTGTTAACTGTTACAAAGTTGATATGTGAGGTCTGTTCTAACACCAAGTTTCCTTACATAATATGCATGCTAGGTAGGGTACAGTTGAGCGTACAGTCTGGTGGGGTTTCTTCTTGTCCTCCCTGAGGAGATACAACAAGGAGAGAACTGTGAATGATGAAGTGGATGCTTAATGTCAGTCAATACTGCAGCTAGTTGCTGAATATAATTTAAATGTCCATCAACTACAGTGTTAATCAACTGGGGCAGAGACACATCACTCACTCCACCCACTGACGGCTTTCAAAGCCCTACACAATATAACATAGTCCTTTTCAAGTAGGTCAGGAAATATCAAGGGGGAACAACAGAGAATAGAGAATAGGTGAAATGCAGAAATTAATAGATTGTAGAAGTGGAAATTGAGTTATACCAGAGAGACTCAGTTCTTTAATGTAATACGTTAAATGAAAGATGTTTTTACAAGTGAACAAGATATGAGACAACCAACAGAGATTACAAGTAAAACTCAATCTAGGATAGTTAACACCCGATTTACTTTCTACAGAAATACTATCCATACAACAAGCGTCATGAGACTTAAGCAGCTTACACAAGTCTTGTTTACAGCTGAGGCTAAGATTAACAGTGACGCTGGGAAGGGTTTGACTTGAGACCATTAGTCAATTAGAGACAAGAACCCATTTAATTCAGAGCAATCTAACTGACAGTTGACTGACATAGAAAACTTTGGGTCATCAGCATACTTAATAAAAGAGAAAGAGAAGAGAAATAGAGAAAGTACTGCAAGTTGAGACACACTAGCTTTAGTAAGCAATGAAGTGGAGTGTTTCCTTTGATAAAAATAAAAATACAGCCAGTTTGTAACCCATGGCTTAGTATGAGCCACGAGACACTTTCTTAACCGAGACGTTCTATCTAACAGTATAAAGTTATTTGAATAATGTTCACGGTAAGTATGGTCTCGAAATGTAGACTTTAGTCAGAAAGTCCATTACAGCATGAAGCCGAATTCACTTGTTTGTTCTGATAATATGGGGGCGGGGGTGGGGGACAGTAAATAGATGTAACTACTACTAGAAAGCTTTTCTTTTATCTTGTGTAAAAGTGCAAACGTTTATGTTTTATCACGAAAGTATGCGATACCCACATCATGGCACATTACAAGTTCACCTTAGAATCACCTACTAGTCAATAACCAATAACATCTAGGGTGTTAATTAATGATCACTATAGTGATAATATGATTGAACAATAATAAAACAAGTAGTGATTATTTCGAAAATGATTGTATTTCAATAACCAGAACAAAAAACAAACAGTTTAAGCATACATACAGGATAGAACTCACCCTTGTCTGAAAGCAAGCAATCAAATTTATAAGAAATGGATGTTGAGCATCAGTAATAATCTGAAAAATACGTTTCTCAGCCAATAATGTATCCACTTCATTACGAAATATTATCTCTGCCTTCTTTAAAGCTTTAATTGCATAATACTGATTGTTTTGACGATATTGAGCTAATAAAACTTTGCCAAAATGACCACGTCCAAGAACAGCCACAGTACGAAAATCAATCATACTAAGTACTGATGTGGATTTATCATCAGATGGCACTATAGAACAAATGCATACAAATTAGTACTGGTGGTGGTATACATATATATACATAATGCAAATCAATGGGATAATGAATTGGAAATAAGATATGCATACATGAAACTGGTTAATGGCACCACACAACAAATTTGTGAGGACATATATTTAACGATGACACTGAAGTAATGGTCGCGCTATGTTATGAACTGACTGGATTCCAACCCAGTGGCTCAATGGTAACGTGCTGGTCACGGAACCTGAAGGTCCCGAGTCCGACCCCTGGAGGGCAGGGTCACCGGCACCCCCTGTTGAGGAGTCCCAACCTAGGATGAAATACCTGTCTAATGCTCACAGGTTTCCAATGTTCCTCTGACTGAATTCAATCCGTGATGAATACCAACTTGAAATTTGCGAGAAAATAAACGACATAATATTATAGTGTAACTGGTTATGAAATCATAGGACTAGCCTTTTAGTGGTAAGTATAAGCCGAAAATAGATTCATGTTTCAAGACTACTGAGAAGCATTTACTAATCGTTTAGTAAAGTTTCTTAGCAAGGTTTCGAAGTTTAAGGGTTAGACACAAGCGCAATAAATCAAAAGTAAGTTGACATTATACACCTTATCTTGCTGAATAATACTTGGCTTAAAAACACATGGAAATCTGTTCAATATGCTGCTTTCATGGGTTGTTGAAGGCAGACTATATATACTGTATTGTCAGCAAAATCAGTGGTACACCTCTAAACCTTCAAACTGAAACTGTTGTGGACAAATATCTTAACATCTGACAGGAATTATTTTATTAGATGACCAGCATCCTCTTCATTGTCGGTCTTCAAGCAAGACCAGAAGCAAGTACATATATATATATAATGTAACCACCAGTATGGCCTTCAGTCAAATGTATAACTTACATCCGCTTGAAATTTCACAGACTGGAGTGAGTGGAGATTCTGTAGCAGGAACTTCTTTATTTTCTTTTTCTGTAGACAATACTACAGGACCTGAGAGTGATCGATGTACATCCATATTCACATAGTCTGTACTGCGAGGATTGATATCACTCTGATCCATACTGGAAAACATTTCTTTGCTAGTAAACTCTTCTGGATTGGCGTATTCTGAGACACGAGGAGATGATTGAGGTTTATGAGCAGTTTTGTTATCCATAGCATAATCGATAACAATTGGGGCAATGTCATAATCTGAAGAGGTTGAACAGTTAGCTGCAATAGGTGAACGATGAGATGGTGAATAATTGGCGGTGTCATCAGCCGAAAGTGTCTGAATAAAACATAAAGTGGTGGTAAAATAAATTATTTATAATTTCAGTAAAGTGATACACTTCAGAAGCACATGTTATAACCACTTTTAACAGGAATTAGGAGTTAGAAGTGCCAATTGAGATAAGCAGAAAAATAAGGTATTCAAAATACTTTAAAGGTTAAAAAACAGCAATTCCATTATGCCGACACGTCACTAAGAAAATTTAAGTCAACACAGTTTTATTCAACACTATTATCCCTTTGACCACCCCGGAAGATTAACACGCACCGCTTCAGGAGGGAAAGGGGGGGGGGTTACAACCATAGTTCGGTTAATGTGTGTTACACTCCTAGGCAGATTTATAATTAAAGTGTGAAAATGTGAGGTGGAGTGAATATATTTATGAAACGCTATGCTTTCATTGTTTCACCGATAAAAAGTAAGCACCTCTTGTGACAATACAAGGTGGAAAAACGCTCAAATCAATTCGCTCACTTACTTTCTCAGGTGAGATTTTTATTTCAACCTCATTAAATGTTAATTTGTTTTCATCCAATATATCTAATTCACGAATAATTGAAATAAACGGACGTTGTTGCGTATTTGTAAAGGTGGGGGTATCAGAAAACTTGTCTGATTGAGTGGGGAATTCAGATTCTGATTTACGAGATTTAGAAATAGTCAGCCAATATTTGTCATCAACAGCCTATGTGTACAAGCAAATTTAAAATGATTATAAAGTTCACCTTCTGTACGAAAACTTGAATATTATGACCTGAAAACTTAATGTCAGATTCATACTCTTGAAAAGGATCTCTTTCTAACAAGATTGAAACATCGAGGAATAATACAAAATATTTGTTTATTTTGTCATTTATTCTAGCATACTACACCGGGGTTACACTGGTAAAATACATCGTATACGACAAATTTAAAGTAGTTAAGACCCAGTATGCTATATTCATCTTGGTGACTAGCAGAGGAATCAAGGACGCGTGTCTCATCCTACTTAGGGCTCGTCAGCCGCACCCCAGTCAGTGACACTGTTCCCACAGAGGCTTGAACCTGGTACCTACCGTTTCAAACCCCAGGGCGTTATCAATTAAGCCACTGGGGCACAATAACCACCATGTATGCAACGGGTATCAGTTGTTGTTATGACACCTATAATTTTCTGCTGCTACATACAGGGCCAAACTGTTCTATCTCTGCTGTTGGCAAATGGGCCCTTATACGGATACCTCGATACGACTGAATACTCATGATTTTATATTGATTATTGTAACTTGTAGAGGGATCCAGGACGCGTGTTTCGCTTTACTTGGGACTCGACAGATGGATGTACCTGAATCCCTATGAGTGTTGTTTCCACTGAGGCTCGAAACCAGTACCCATCGCTTTAAACGCCAAAGCGTTACTCACTAAGTCACTGGGGAACGATAGCCACCTTTTATGGAACCTAGGATACTAAAGGAAATGTCAGAAAAGATTACCTGTATCTCGGTTACGAATTATTGGAGTTATCAATGTCGCTAAGTTTGCCTATCATTCACAAACCTAGAACCACAAGCATACACAGACAGGGCTAGTGTAACTACTTAGTCACCCAAACCTGGGCAGATAGAAACTAGTCCAAACTCGTGATCCACTGATTGGAAGATAAGTGCCTAGACTAATGAACCACAAGCTTTACCAAATATTATTGTCACCTTCGTAAAATACATAAATCGCTGCGACTGATTTTCAGCCATTTCAACAAGTCCTCAACCATTGATTTCCATCGTCTTGAGGACTCAGTAAGATAGTCTACACTTCCCTGCATGGCTCAGACCAACAATCGGAGACTTTATCAACTGGCCCCATGTCTTAGTCTGGTCAATGTGAGCCTTTTTCCAACCTAATTCAACTTCTGTGAGCACTGGACGTCAAAGTAGGTGGTGGCTTGGCATGAACAACATATGTCTAACCTACCACAGTCGATGAAAGTTCCCGACCTCATTGACCAACTTTGATTCCCTTACTAGTACCCTAGTCCTGACCTCTACATTGCTCATATGATGATTCTACCATGCGCAAGCAATGCTACGGAGACACCTCTGATCAAAACTTTGTAACCGTTTCTTATCTACTTTTAACGGGGTCATGTCTTATAACCGTATAACAGGACAGAACGGGCCGCAGACCAGTATAGTTGTCCATTTAATAGGAAGGGATGAACATCCTTCAAAATGTACCAAATTTGGCTGTCATATACCAGAACAGTACAGAAGGAGGAAAAAACAAAAGAAAAACTTTAACAAGACGTTATGATTTCAGAAGATTGAGGTTATATGCTATGGCCGCCAACGATGCACAGTTATCGAGTATCAGCCATCAACATTCAACAAATTCCTAGTTGATTCCCAACCCGACTAATTAGTGGAAAAGACATGATGGACGTGTAGACAACGTGTATTAGGGTCGAAAGATAGAAGGTGGATGATGGGAGAGTTTATTCCTCCGAGAGTATAATAATAATAAATCCCAAAACACGTGAACAAGTACACACATGAAAAATGACCTTGTCCGCAATTTGAGACATTGGGATAGTTAAAGATTAACCAATCAGTAAATTACATTACAATGGGGTCAGAAAATAAACTACTAGTCATATAGTAAAAGTGGTGTGAGAATGCCAAGTTAAAAATGTTCAGATCAATAGCAACGTCTTATGCAAAACCAGGGCCTCACAACACAAGAAGACAAAGAAACATACAGGGGAAGAGAAGAAATGACAAGAATACATGCAATAAAAAACAACTGTACTCCACTGAAGTAATTTAGAGAAAGTGGACGATAATAACAAAAGTCACATTAACCCTAAAACGATATACTACTATAATCTAGTCACAAAAAGCTAGTGAAAACCACAAAAAATTTCTCGTCACATATATAGCTACAACATCTTCAAAAACTTTTCATATACTTTCCAATTAGAAAATACAAAACATTAGTAGGAGACATCTCCATGAAAACTTGAGAAAATACAAACTAAAAACAGCTTGTACGAAAAGTAACGCAGTTCATTCTCTTATCGATGACTGAATAAACGAATAGACAGACGCATCTTAGCTACTATCCAACTTCTGAGCGAACAACTGTTTTCAATAACTTCTTCATTAGGCCCTACAGTTATAAATCTATGAGAATAAGTGAAATACAATAGCCAAAATAAGGCATGATGTACAATTATTACAATATTGAAACAGTCAGTGTTATAGAGTGAATGAAGATCAAATCGAATGGAATGGTGGAATGGTAGGTAATCAGTGTAGTATGTAAGCTATCTAATTAAGTCAATATGGACGGAACAATTACGAGATAAGGAGAGAAAAATCTAGAGATAGTAATTCATTTATATACATTTGTTGGAGTATGAATGTGTGTGTGTGTGTGTTCGTTTACTAAGGGTCACATAATAGATCATACTTAAAGGGCTCTATCCACGAGCGCTCGTGAACATGTACCATCTTGGTTAGGGAAATGAATGACAAAGAGCATCAACAGTACAATCCTCTCACATCTAAGTAGATACCGGACATCAGATTAAAGCGGACCACGTCTTTTCTGTGATATATTGTATCCCTTGGAATCTCCCTAAAGGTGCACGACTTCGAATCTTAATCATAGCCGAAGTCATAGGGATCAACACAAAAAACTGGACCTATATGTTTAAAAGAAACACGTACATCCATTTCGTCCACCATGGCGATAATGTGATGGCCACCCGTTCTTTATGAACTCTTCTACCACAAATTTAACATTTTAACCTCCCACTCCTTACTACTATATTGTCATTACATTGATAAACATTCATTTCCTTAGGCTGTTAATTATACACCCTTCTTTATTCATAACACAACCAGTAGTCATTTTCACCTGTGACGTAACACTTCACATTTGTTGTTCTCTATTTCGTTACAGTATTCATATGACTTTCATCCCGCTTGAATATAATTCATTACTACATATTTGATCCTTAGTAAACACATACACACATTCATGCCCCAGTAAATGTATATAAAATGAATAATTATCTATACTGGGTGATGGTTGAAGGTGCAATGAAAATCTGGACCGCGGTCGGATTCGAACCAGCAAACACCGGGTTTCCGACACGATGGTCTACCAACTGAGCTACGAGGTTCGACTGCTGACCAGATTTTTATTTCACTTCAACCTCAAGGCGGAGTTTTGCTACACTATCATGTGAATTCGTGACGCGTTACTACTGCTTGATCATATTCACACTAGCTGTCTATTCAGGACTTCTCCACCCAATCGGAATCCAATTGAATTAGAGAGGGCGAGTATCATATTGATTATCATTTGACTATCTGAGATAGCCGTCAAATGAGAAGCATTATCTATAGATTTTGTCACCTTATTCCGTAATTGTTCTGTCCATATTGATTTAATTAGATAGCTTACATACTACACTGATTACCTACCATTCCACCATTCCATTCGATTTGATCTTCGTTCACCCTATAACACTGACTGTTTCAATATTGTAATAATTGTACATCATGCCTTATTTTGGCTGTTGTATTTCACTTATTCTCATAGATTTATAATTGTTCGCTCAAATTATTCTTCTTCTGAATAATCTATGCGAATCTTCAAATTATCCAACTTCTGTTGACTAAGAGAATGATAGACCCAAGCATTGGAAATTGTTCTAAATCAGCGTAAAAATTTGACTATTTAAGTAGAAAACAACAGTCTTTAGCGCTTTTCCGGACCTGACTCATAAGATGATGCATAAATCAGACAATTTTGAAACCATGAAAATAGCATAACCAAAGACCATCTCTCTGAGGTGTTCGAGTTATTGTAAAGTGCGGTTGTCGTTCACTAGTTTAATTGTTCGGCTCTCAAGTTTTAAGTGACAACATTAAACTGTCAATGTCTACATTTCGCCTGTTACAATAAGTATACTTTAGTTTGCTTCTACGACTTTCGGTATTTCTAATATCGGGTGGTGGTGGTGGTGGTAGTGAATGAAGTAAAAATAAAAACCTGGATCGTAGGGGGATTTAAATCCTGTCTAAGAATAACCATAAAGGGATAAAACTATGAGATCTTCTAACTGTTGACCATATCTTAGTTTCATTTCAATCATTGAGGGTTTTGTCTGATTGCAATATGAATAACTATCACCAATAAAAGTGGATTGAAGTACAACTGCCATTGATCTATAAATGATGAAATCTAGGAGAGTAAAAACCTCATTCAGACAAAACCTTTAGCCAATATTTATTGGACACGAAATAAAATGAAAAGGTTAAGTTTGTCTATGACTTATTTCAAATTGTTCACATAGTCACCAGTAAAGGATAATATAGATCATTTTCTTCGTTAAAACATGAATGAAACAGATTACAACGATACTTCTCTTATTCGACAGTCTACTCACTCTTTCTTACTGAAAAAAAGGAACACTTCGCATTCTAATAGCGACGATTTGGCTGCAGTAATTTAAAATCAGATTTATGGATTAAGAATTATACTAACCAGTCGATAGTTATGAATGTTACATAAGCGATGAGACTAAGGGTAAGGTGGAAACACTAGTTTGAATCTATAATTCATTGTTTGGACATTAGAGGGCAAAGATTACTAGTTCGAAAAAAACACTATCCAATGAAATTGCTTTGACAAATATGGACCACATAAATTATTAAATGGCAAACAGATCATAATGAGATCTAGTTAACGGGAAAAAACACTAAGGTACACCACACCCTTATATGAACTTGTGTTCATTTATAAATTCCCTGATCTGTGCAACTTTTGCATTCAAAAATCAATAAACCAATCTTAAAAATAAGGGTTAAATTCACCTGAGCAGTAGGTGGTGAACCGCTGACAGATGTGTTCAACTGTTGAAAGCGACCTTCTAAACCATGAGTTAATACAGATCCATGAGATCCATATTCTGTTGGATGGCTAAGTGTCCAAGATGCACCACCGACAGAACGAGTCATTTTAGACAGTTGACCACTTTTAAGCATACGAGTCCATAAAGGGATATTCATGTCCAGTTCATTGATACGTGGAATATTATGACCTAGAAAGAAAGAGGTACAATGAAAATATGCTGAAATAATTTCTCCCGGAAATTGTTGGACCTATACTCAATCCTTCTGAAAGTAGCATATAACATTATAGTCGCAAAGAGGAGCGAGTGTGTACGTGCACATGACAATACGACACCCTAGAATAGCCTTGAATTTAATTAGCTTCAGCCAATCTCTTTCAACTATATGAAGACGAGACATGCCAAGTAATTCACAATGGGAAGCTTAGTGATACCTTCGAAGTGAAGACAGGAGTAAAACAAGGTTGTCTACTAACACCCATCATCTTCCTGATTGCAGTGGACTGGATCATGCAACAAACAGTGAGGAGCGAGAAGAAGGGGATACGCTGGCTGGACTACGGAAAAGAACCTAGAAGACTTAGATTTCGCCGATAACTTGTGTCTGATGCCACACAAACTTGAAGATCTACAGACAAAAACTAAAAAGTTGACAGAAGAGGCAGCGAAGACGGGACTTCAAGTGAATATAGAGAAGACAGAGGTGATGAAGATACCGCACCAACACCAACACCAGCAACAACAACAAACTCCAAACAGCATCAACGGGAGAAACTTAAAGGAAGTAGCCTCCTTCACCTATCTAGGAAGCACTGTTTCAACTACAGGCGGCGGCACAGACAAGGATGCCAAAGCCAGCCAGGATCGGAAAGACAGCAAGACAGGCGTTCACAAACCTGAAATCAGTGTGGAGATCTTCTGCACTCAGCATAAAGAACAAGATCCTGATTTTCAACATCAATTCAGTGCTTCTGTATGGATCAGAGACTTGGCGCATTACGAAAGGGATTTCCAACAAATTATATATATTCATCAACAACTGCCTACGCTCACCCGTTACTGAAGATCAGATGGCCAGAATAACAAGAATAAGCAACAAGGAACTCTGGCAACGAACCAACCAAGAAGCTATCGCTCAACAAATATGCACTGGAAGGAAGTGGAGATGGATTGGGCATACACTGAGAAGGCCGACTGGAGACATTACGCATCAGGCCAGGCACTCGAGTGGAACCCCGATGGGTAGCGACGAGTTGGGCGTCCGTGGGTGAGATGGAGATGGTGTGAGGAAGAATTAAAAGCTTGTGGGCAGTCGTGGAGCCAGGTTGAAAAGATTGCAGAGGAGGGAGTGGAATGGAGACGTGCTACTTGAAGCTCTATGTTCCATTAAGAACCCAAGGGACAAATAATAATGAGCTCTTTCAAAATTTTTAAATTAACACAGGGTTTCAAATTTCGCCCCTAAAATTCGATTACTGAATAATCATCTGTCGGCAATGTCAGTGCTGAAACATAAACAAGTATAAACATGTTTCTCTTGTGCAACGTTCATCGGAGTGCAAAAAAGGTGAACCTATCTTTACGTGTTTGGTTTGATCTTGTTTCGTTAGTCGTTAGATTGGCGATGAGGATGGTTAATTAGATTATCCCACAGTGGAAAAATAGTATGTGTCAACATACTGAATGAAACCAGAACGATCAGGAAACGAGTAGCATTATAACTAATTTTCGTGCATACTACGATTTACATACATATACACACACACACATAGTTTCAATTACCAAAATGTGGATGTAGGCTAGAGGGAAATAATGCAAACTGAACAAAATTATCATTTATGTCAACACGATGAACCAGTTCAGAGACCGAAACATATTTCATTCTGGTGTGACTAAACACCAGCTATATATCTCTCTTATTTGTTTTCCTTACTTAGAAAGTTTAACGAATCGTTAGTTGGCGAATTTAACCAGAACAGACTAGAATTTTAATACTACTAGAAAAATCCCACTATGCTTATAGTCGTCTTTAAGCAAAAACAATAGCAGCCAATAGATATTCTGTTCAGGCTGTTGGATATTTCCTTTCTAGAATTGTCTACAAATCTAACAATTGACTGATCTATCATAAATAGCAGTACAGTTTTAAAGGGAATCTGGTAGTAAAATTGTATCTAGTGAAGGTTTTCGACTGATCAGTATAAATTTCACACCTTCAAAATCCTAAACAATAGGTAACTGTGCTAGTGATCTAATCTCAAATGAACTGCATCTGGCGATTACATCATCAAAATGAGTATGACTGTATGTGTAAGTGATTCAGTCTATAGTCCCAACCAACTCATACTTTAAAGAACAAATTAAGTGTAAACGAAAAACAAAATGCTAAAATGCTGATTTATGCCTTAAACAGTATACGAAGTATGTAGAATATTCTGAAGTCGAAACATTTGTGATTTTAAAAACGAAGTTTTAGATATATTTGGTTGATTTTATCCTAGATTCATCAAAGCCCATGGACTCAAACAGATAGCCTTCCCCAGTCTACACAGTTTAGGTCAAAACGTAGATACTTCAAAAATCGGTATCCGAGGTTTTGAATTTGACCGCCACATCAAGACGGAGTGTGATGACTCAGAATAAGTAACATATATCCAAGCCACCTTAGTTCCCGTTGATGGTGATTGATCCTTGTTGTTGGTGGTGGTGATGTTCGGGTATCTTCATTACCTCTGTCTTCTCTACATTCGCCTGAAGGAAGTCTCGTCTTTGCTGCCTCGTCTCTTCTGCCAACTTGTTAGTTTTCGCCTGTATATCTTCGAGTTCGTGCGAAATAAGACATTAGACATAAATCATCATCGGCAAAATCTAAATCTTCCAGGGTCTTTTCATCGATTCAGCGTACATCCATCTTCTCGCTCCTCACAGTTTGTTGTATGATACAGTCCATCACAATCAGGTAGATGATCGGTGATAGTAGACAGCCTTATTTTACTCCTATCTTCATAGAATGAAACCCTGACATAACAATTTGAGCAATAAACTTTTGAAGGGTTAGTCATAACTTTAAACCAACTTTATTAACCCTCACGTAGTGTTAAAAAAAATGTATCCTTAGCTCATATACGAGTAGAATTATCAAATGATTAGTGCAAAAACTTATTCCAGTGCATTAATTTATCCTTTTCCATGTCAAAAAGTTGGATCAACAACCACGTGCACGTGTTCATGCAGTTGGCGATGAACCACATCTGTTCACATCTGGTCGGACCTCGGTAGATGGAGTAAGATTCGAAAAACTGACTCATCATCATGAAACGCCTAGACCAATGAACCAGTCTCCCTATGTAACGCATAATGATTTTGAGTCAGATGTCTTAAAACATCAGAATAACAAACACTGAAAATTAGGTAATTTAAGAAAACAATTGCTTAAAAGTCAATTTAGAACACATACCTTTACGCTTAGAAAATAAACGCTTTTGGCGGTGTAGATTGCAACGTGGCTTAGAAAGAAGTGGGTCGGAAAATTTAAGGACAAGGAATACTTTTCCCTTTGGCAACATAGGCAGCAGTATAGAACGTGATTCCCCACCAAGCAGTTCCTCAAGACGTACATAGCTGAAATATAAAATTTCAACAACAACAGAAAAAAATGTTATCCAGTTGGCAGGAAAAAAAATCTGGCACACACACTAAATATTATCATAGTTTCAATTACTTACTTTACAGCTGCCAATACCCACTCTAAACCCGAACCAGAATCGTCATATGATGCACTTTTGCCGGAAACAGTACCAGCTGAAGGGTTGACTGATGAAGAGCTTGATGGAAGAAACATACGCTTCCAATACACTTGGACTTCTAGTTCTTTGCCTCGATCGATATTAAAAGTAGTTTTCGAATCCCAGCATTGTTGGTTAGGTTGGCGCCATGGTGAATCCCACACACGCTTATGATCAACCAATAAGGAGCATCGAACATCCGCTGTTTATACAACGAAAATACTTTTATACAAAAAGCAGTAGTACAATAAGCTAAAGAAGACAATTTGCTATAAAAACAAAACAGCAAACTTTGCTATGTGACAAGATTTTGAGGTACTACTTAATCTTAAAAAAGTCACAAATAAACTATGAAGATTTCGACAAATCAGATTGAATTAGCATTTTAGTAGGGAGTCTATCAGGAGGAATCCTGTTTGTGTACATTGTATTCTATTTATCAGCGAAAACTCATACGAACATTAAGAAACTTTCAAGTGTTGACTGCCTAAGAAAGATGATTGTAACTTTTGCTGCCGGCGGTCTAAATTTTTATTTCACCTTCAATCATCATCCAGCATAAATAATAGTCTGACAAACCATGGCTATCTAACATGGTTAAAATTATGATCAATATGATTCAGTTAGATTTCGATTGACTACAATCAAGCAGTAGTAACGCGTCACAAATTCACATGGTAGTGTAGCAAAACTCCGCCTTGTGATTGAAGCGAAATGAAAATCTGGTCAGCAGTCGAACCTCGTAGCTCAGTTGGTAGACCATCGTGTCGGAAACCCGGTGTTTGCTGGTTCGAATCCGACCGCGGTCCAAATTTTTATCTTACCATCGGACCCATTATAAAAGACTAATAGTCTAAAGCATAATGATTGTACTTCTTCCTGGAAAATTAAAATCAAACCAACAGAAAGCCAAATGTGAAGATGATTTCATTATGAGCTACCTTCTTTTTCATCAAGCTGGAATTAACACTAATTGAAGTCAGGAATCCTACCATATTTTTTCATGCAACTCACAAGCATTTCTGACGATTTCGGGTATTGATGGCCCTTATTTTTTCCGAGTTCACAACTTTATTTATCGCGGCGTAGTTTTGCTTCGTGGCTAGCAATGAAATGTAGGATACGTGTTTCGTCTCAGTTGAGACTCGTCAGCTGTATGTATTTATACTTGGGGTTGTGGGTTCAACCCCCGCTTTATCTACCGAAGTTCGGGCAGCCAGATAATAGCATTGGCCCTCATACAATAGATGTGCCTCACTTCCCACTACACAAATGTGCACAGGGTTGTTGAGTACATTTCGAGTGAGACTCGAGTCCAATACTCATCACTTCAAATGCGAGAGCGTTCGAGTCTCAGTGGGAACACCATCACTCACTGGGGTACAGACATATCCAAAAATGAGCGTCCTGAATTCCGCTGCCTGCCACACAATGAATATTCAGGCAGTATCGAGGCCTTCGCATAGAAGCCCATCTGCCAATAGAGGTCGAGTAATTAGGTCCAGCACATTAATAGTAAATTACAAGTATCATCATACACGGTTACCTCGAAATCCCGTTGTCAGATCCAAACAATCAACTCTAACTGATATTGACTTACTACAAATGACATTTTCTGGCACAAGTATCATGGCGATCAGATATGCGTGCTAATCTATTTACGAGTGCAGTCGTGCACTCCTGAAGTTTCACATGCATAATGAGTGAATTGAGATACGTACCATGATTATACCATTCCACAAGGTGAAAACATCTAATGATGTAGCTAAATTGAAAAGATATGGTGACCAGTATGACCCATTTTTAAAACAGTCATAGTTACATCGTTGAAGCTGTTTTAATGATGTTAAGTTTCCTTCAGACCTCTAGGTTGGATGCATTAGGAATTACCTGATGCAAAAGATCAATAGAACCACCACCCAAAGCATTTTAACTAAACACCTGTCACAAAAGTAAGGAATTGGCTTACTACTGACTCATAAGTTTTAACACATTTCCAAACAGTGAGGCTACAGTACACAAGTGTCACTGGTCCCATATCAACTAGGCTGTCTTTTAATTAGACACATAAAAGTGTATGGTTACTGATTGCGCAAAGAATAAGATTCGACTTTTTTAAACTTCAAAGACTAGTGACTGATATCTCACCTTCTTCGCATCTGGCTTTCTGCTGCATAAAGAATGGCTCACAACATCTGATACCTTAAAGTTGTTGATTTCAACTTCGATGTCACTAATATTAGGTTTGGCAATACCTACGCAGTGAAATTTTTTTCTAATGACTAAAACGCCTTGGTAAGACTGAACACAAGTAGTGCCATCTTTTTCAAATGCCTTCATATAGTCAAGCGTTTGTCGTGTTTCGACGGCCGAAAATTCGCTTCCAGTGACGTAGTAAAATTGGTTGTATCTAATCTTGCAACTAAATATCAAAATGAACCAAATTGAAGATTAGCTAATGGTCCACAAGACAGCTGCATTCAATCAATTAGTTAATATCAACTTATTACCAGGCATAACTGCAGAACAGTTCAAGTTCCCACACCTCGTATCAGCAAACCAAGTAACAAAGCAGTAAGATGCAAGATGAAGAAAGGAAGAAAAGTTGGTCAAAAGGAGTAGAAAGCAGTAAAAGAGAAGAGGGAGGCATGAGAAAATGCTGTGTTCAGTATAGCAACTAAGATTACGATAATATGCGGATACATCTACGCCACTGACATCAGTCCTGAGCCATATCATCTAGTCTCCAGCCACTAGTTTCTGTTGCCACGTGGACCCCAGCCGGCTAGTCTGCATCTTTCAATATGGCTGAAACTAACAATCAAAGACTTGATGCCCTGATACCATGTTCTAGTCTGGTTACCTCAAGCGTTTTCCCAGCCTGAACATACTTCAGACATTGTGCAATAAGGTAGGTGATGACTAGGTATGAGTAAAGCATATCCCAGAATCTTAGTCGATGAAGATTCACGAACTTACCAACTGACCTTAGTCTGTTGGTTCCATCTTTAATGGGGGCTTACGTAATGAATGTCACAAACAGCCAGTTATCAGACTGCTAGCAGTTGCATCGAAAACATAGGCTTCTGTCATACTTTTTAGGCTGTAGACAAAGTCAACTGGTTCTCGAAAAACAAATAGGGTCTCATGGATGCATTGGTTACGAAGTTACCTCCCTTCAAATACTGGAACACAATCACACACACAAACACAAAACAAACAACAACTGTTGTTTCTTGATATTGGGGTTGCCTTTGACTAATCGAACAGGATTGTGCTCTAGAATTGTGCTACAGACAGGGTATCCCGTAAAGCGTTCCTTTATATCTTAAAAGTCATATGAACAAAATACTGTAAGTAGGGTCAAGGAATACAACCACTTCTCTCTAAACCATCAATGACGTTAGGTAGAGTTGCCGAATTCCACCACTCGTCTTTAACCCTTGTATCGATGACGGCTTTGAAGGAAATACAACGTAGTGAATATCTGCTTCCAAGAAAAACACTTTTCAACCATAAGTATGCGAAAAATGTTTCTTTAATGTACTACAAAACATGAGTCATTCAAACTGGGCTTCATTAGTTGGCAATCAAGGTCCGTAAGTACGGTTGATGACTTGTACTATCGAAGTGGCATGCTTTTACAAAGACTGGCAGTAGCCTGCACCTATACCGACCCTTGATAGTAAACTGTTGGGAGAAGTTGTGAAGTTCGTAGGTGTGTGTATGTGTGTGGTAGTACGCCGGTTAGGGGATACTTCTCATCGCGCACCGGAGGCCATAGAATCATTTGCGTATCCACTCACCTTTGGTGCCATAGTCACGTTATTCTGACTGTAAAATGTAGGGGGTACAACACCTTAGTGACAGAATTTCCGTTGTACAACTGTGAAACCTTACCTCCTCAAGCTATAAGAAAATCATCTTAGCGGCTTCATTACCGTTGGAAGCCTGACGACTCCTTGAGTGGGGTCCAAAATATCATAAAACTGTGGCTTGAAGAAAAGTTACTTATTACGCATAAGCACAACTGGTAACAAGCATACCACGGCTTTCACGTTATTTTACCAAGGAAAAATGGAAAATAATAGATGCTTCTTCAAGTGTATTTCACACGACTGCTTCGAATACTTCACTTTTATTTTCTGTTTCGTCTGCATTTCTTTTGACCACACAATAGTACAGAATTTCATATGACATATTGCTCAATATCTATACTGTACCAAATCTACATTCTAAATGGACAAGTAGTAAACAACATTCAAACGGTGGGACTTAACGAAAAGAGGAAATTTATTCTTAGTTACATCAAAGTTGGCGCGTATCGAAGCACTGTGAAAGATAGTTGGAGAGCATCGATAACTTTATCCGCTAGATTTCGCTTTATTAAACCAATCCTAGCAACACGCAGAAGACTATTAAGGGATGGACTCTAGCGTTATAGGGTTATTTGATGGGCACACAAAAGCATTTTAATGATTATATAGAATTTAAAAAAGTCGAAAATAAGATGGACAACAACCATATGCACGTTGGTGCAGTAGACAATAAACCACCTCTATTGCGCAAGGGCTAATTTAATACACAGCTGTTGTGACCTAAGTAGGTGGAAAATGACATAACTCCATGATCTGCTAGTTGAACACTGAAGAGTCACAAGTTTGGACAAGCAGCTTATTCACAATGCTATCTTCCAAAGCTATGAGCATCACTTGTCTAGAACTACGTTTCTCTGATGGACTAGGTGAAGACAAAAGTTCTGCAAACCTAGTTTAGAACAAGAAAATCGCTTTCATTAACTCATGTTTTTAAAAGATGCTCACTTCAAGAAATATTACGAACAAGACAATTTTTAAAAAAACTAGTTAACACATCTAAATGGAAGTGATAACTGTATCTACCTTGGATTGTACCAAATCATCTGACAGTCTTTATTTGTTGGAATTATTTACTTTGCATATAAGAAGCACATAATTGCTTTACACCTGTTTCCCCTGCATCTACTTAGAAAGATACAGTAGCCTTAGACCGAAGTACAACTAACGTCACAGTAATGAGTTTCTCTACAAAGAAATTTCGAGAACTATGGTTTCTACACAGAAACAAAAAAACATACTCCGCAGGTAGCGTATTTGTAGGCTAATCACGGAACTGATCTGTATTAATGTGGAAATGAACCACATGTACAACAATTAAACAAGTACAGTATAGTAAGTGCTTAGCATGCAAAATATAAACATGTGAACCAAACCAAAATCTGGATTGGTGAACATTAAACCACTTCACACAACTTAAAGGGGATGAAACCACTCATCAAACTTTTTCCAGAAATGTACAGCACTTCAATAAGTAGGAGGGATCAAGAAAAAACAAACTGGAAACTTAGACCACCTTCTTATAGCAGAAAACGAAAATTAAAATGTTTAGAATCCTTGGTAAATCTACTCAGTTGTAATCTTCCGATGAAATTCAAATCAACTAAATGAGCTACTATTTAGATGAAATTAAATAAAACTGAAATTCAAATGATAAACATATACTAGATAATCACTTACCCCAGTGATTATCCGACATACGTGATGTAATAATTGTAGGGATTGCATTAACTCCTCGGTTGGATAATGTGCCTGAAAGTTCGTTATTTACAATTTCAGCTGGAAAAATATCAACAATTTCCTGACAGCCTAAACACCGAACTTCCAAACTGCCAGTAATTGCAGTAGGTGGATTCGGTATCGATAATGAACTATTCGCATGAAACGAAGTGTTAGACCAAGGTGGGGATAACAATGCATTCATTTCAGGGTCATTGATAATGGCAGAGGCCATCTCAGGAGATTTTGTTCGTGGTGGTCGCTTTAAAAGCGGCTTGATTGCTTCTTGAAATAAATGAAGCCTATGAAGAGATTCACGAGCCTCCTGCAAAGCCTGTGGAGAGTCATTAAAAACAACGTCAGTCTGGAACATAACCTTAGAATTATGGTGTGGAAACGACTAAGAGCTTTAAATAAGTGGTTTAGTTCGCCAAGTTTCAACTGCAATGTCGCATATCCTAACGCTTTCCAACTATCTCATATTCGAGGAGCTAGATGACATGATGATAACATCCTTCTCAATAAAACAGATGAGATTCAAGTTTTATTCATACTAATTCGTATCTAATCGGGGACTTGATTCGACAATATACACTTCTGAAAAATAGTTCCAAAATAAAAAAATTACAAATGGTGGTTAGAATTGTTAACCCAGCTAGCAAACACCAGAACAACGAAGGAAGCAATTCTCTAATTGAACAAAAGAAGTTAGAAAAACATTATGAATCATATCACACTTGTTATGCTGACAATCAAAGCAGTGAAGACATCTAGTACACTTTAAAACTACGTTCTACTAGTCTCAAATATTTTCTGCCATATATGCTCAGTCATAGATTTGCAAATAAAACCAAGATGTGAGTAGCATATTGCTTTGAAGAAAATGTCAGACATAGTTTGTAAGCTGATACATTTATTTTATAACCAACAGGAGTCTTTGAAATACTAAATTATGATACCTTAAAGTTTCAGCTGTGGTCACTAGACAAATCACGAAATACTGGTTGTATATTAGTGACCGCGTAGTTGAAAAGCAACAATGCTAACCCGGCATCAATCTTTTTTCAATCACGCTGACATGGAAAACTTTTCTATTAGACACTAGACTCACAAAATACCCTGGATATTTCCGCTACCGCCAACAGTGTAGAACACAAGTTAGGGTGGAGCAACACTAACGCTAATATCTTCGGACCACTAGGAAAGTAAAGGTATATCCACCGCACATTTATTTCAGTGCATACAGGGCAGTCGACTGTTATACAGATGACATTTAAAACGGAAGGAAAAAAGGTGTATTATCCTAGCAACTACTGAAACATACCCTAATCATCTTATGTAGAAATTGAACAACGAATTTTTTTATTCAGACAGCCTCCCATGAGTAAGATAACAAACTAGTGCGACGAAAAAGCGACAGAAAACTAATTCGACACACGTACAAACATATGCTGATTATACCTAAAACGATTACGTAAAACAAAAATACAACAGAGCACGTATAGTTGGAGCTAGTGATAATACTGCGAATCTTGTGGAATAACATCTTTGACAAAATATCAATGTTCGTTTGTGTTCCAACATAAATAAGATTAAAGATATTTTAAAAAAATGAGAACTTTACTTGTAATTTTCTGTATTTGTCCACGTGGGCTTGATTATCCAAAACAGCGTTAACAGCCTTCCTGCTACCAGCAAATAAAGCTCGTTCAACTCGTAAACGATGTGCCAACTCCATCACTTTGTCTTTCCATATGAGGAAACTTTCTTGATTCTTCGAGATCGAAGCTGCTGAACCTATGGAGCCGTTCGCTTTAGCTGAATCAGATAAATTTTCGCCACTTGACCCAAGGGAAGAGTTATCTGACTAAAGAAAAACCAAAAACTAACATGAAAATGATTATAACGTAAACAAAAGTTTGAAATATAGTACCGTAATAGCGATAAAACTCCAACTACAGTACCATCGAATCCAGGAAGTACTGAATTAGAAATATAGCAGAGCTTATCTCAACTATTGATGTCCATAGCCGAGTGGAGAAAACGCAGAGTTTGAATGCTTATCGTAATACCAAGCTTAATAGCTTTGGCGTACTAAATGAATAAACTAAATAATCTACAGTAATGTAGCACATTAATGCAGACAGAGAATAAAACCCGATACTCAGCAGCAACAGTGAAGGATAAAGATATTATGATGAGAACTAAGGACACATGTAGGTAGGCAGATTAGTGAAATGCTAAAAAGCTTCAAAGGGTTATAAAGAGCGCGCGCATCTTGAAGACCTCAAACAAGAAGTCTACATTTGCGTACACAATTGAGATTAACAGTTAGTAACTTCATAAACTACTGATGTACCTTAATACGACCAACTTTTCTCTCGTTTCCCTACAAGCGAGAGGTGTAGAGAAGAAATGTCTGCATTCAACAGCTACACTTCACTAATGTACGGTGAGAGTGAATTGCAGCGATATGTTATGCAGTTCAGCAACTATATGCACATTTGTGCAGTTGGCAATGTGTTACGTCTTTTGTGACGAATGATACTACGTGGCTACCCAGACCTTGGTAGATGGAAGTGGGTTTGAGCCTGTGACCTACTAATTGGAAGCTGAACCTAGACCAATAAGCTGCAGTTCTACACTAGCGGTATAGCGGATGCTCAATGCTAGAGATGCGGTAGCATGGCAAATACCATGTAACTTTCACTAGAAACTAGTTCATTATTAATGATGCACGCTGAACAGTAAAATTCGATCGTAATTAGATACTGTTACTACAACTAGTTCATTATTGGTGATGCATGTTGAGATGTCAACACACCCAACTACTGCATAAACTACTCTTCAAGTGTGCCTATCCAGACCAATTTAGAACAATTATTTTACGTTTGACAAGCGAGAAATCCATGAAAAACATAATGTTACCGCTGAAACCTTACGTAGCCCTGCATCGCATCAGCGCACACTCCAGGTCACATAAAACAGTTTATGGCTGGGTTACTATGTCTAACCAGGTGGAAGCGGTTATCTCTTCCTAATTCAGCTAAATAGACCATTTCGGACTTGCAATGATCGTTACAAATGCAAACCATCGCCAACTATTACCAGACCCCCCATAAATGTGGTTAATAAGACTTCAGCTTGCTATATTACACTTTACATCTATGATATAACCCTAGAAGTTTAACATTATCGAAATAAAGATGCTTTGATAAGTTTCAAGCAACTCACATGCAGTGGGTAGCCATGAAACTGCGCATGCAGTATACAAAAGGAAAGGAAATAAGAATGAAAGTCTGAAGACTTCGCTTGCCCAACTGCTACCTACATTAACATCCGATGTTGAGACACCACCAAAGTAAAATTCAATTGTAACTAGATACTACAATAATAACTGGTTTACCAAAAGCAGAAATCAAAGACTGTGAAACTTTCACAGTGCCTGCAGGGCTGAATTTAGTCGTGCGAAAGCACTGGAAAACCTTACTGACAATTTGAGCGGATGTCGGCAATAAATAAATGTATCCAACAGAAACCCAGTTTATGTGAGGAAAAAATCAAGACAATCAATTAATCCACCGATTTTACCAGTGGGGCGAGTGTACAAGTCAAATTTTGGCAACATAATCAGCCAGTAAAGTTTGTCTTAAAGAATGCTAACTTATTGGCAGTTTGGTCAGTCATTAAGGGAGTATAACTATGCGAAAAACTGCTTTAAAACCACTGAAACTGTTTTACAAGCAAGCTGAATGATTCTATAGTCTTTTACCTGGTAGAATCCTTCATTCATTTGCTTAACACGAATCATTTGGTTACGAATAAATCCAATTTTATTATTAGCATTTTCATACTGTTTCTTTGCCTCTTCAAGTATATGGCGAGGACCTGACTTATAAGTTTGAATCAAACGCTCTGCTCCACTGCGAACCTAAATCAAAATAGGAACCCAATATATAAATAATTTATTACCTGCAACTCAATGTCCAAAGCTTTCTGTAACTCCGCCAGACGCTGGTCTGTGCTGTCACCACCACCAGCTGACTTTGTCACAGCATTCTGAGAGTCTGCAGATGACATAAAACGTACATAAGTTTTATGCGTACTTACCTAAAGTGGGTTGGTAGTGTTTTAGCAAAAGGAGTGATGTTTCTAAATCTCCTATGTCCTCTGCCAAATCTTGCACGTCGCTGTTAATACCTTTGATGACGTCCGAAGTAGTGACACGACTTGATCTTCGATCTAAAGTGTAGCTTTCTTTGGAACCAGATAAATTGGGTCCAGTAATAAAATCACTGCTTGAACGAACGACAGCAGAAAAACTGCCACCTGCAGCATCTTGCAGCTTCTGAACCCCCGCTTTCATTTTATACAGCTTTTGCAGATCTGAACGCTTTGAATCAAGAACATTTTTTAACTCCTCAATAATGGAGTAGTAAGGAAGTTGAGGACTAATTTTATAATGAGCAGCAAGTTCCCTTGCATATTCCTCGTGCTCCTTAGAAATTATCATGCAGAAACTTTCAACAAACCATAATTATATTTACGCTTTACACCGAAAATCCAGCACTATTTTAAAACTGGAAATGATATTTGCTGTCAGTTGAACATACGAGACAACCTTAGGCATGAACACGGTTGAAATTTCGCGGTAGACACTACCGGGTAATTACGCGCGATACAAAATTAACTGCAGAATAAATCACCAAAAATAGTCAACGAAAAAATTTGAAGTCTTCAGATATGAGACTTTAGTGCAAAACTTCTTACAACACGGTACTGCTTTTATTCAACATCCAAAATTGAAAACTAACACCTGCTTTCAAACCTCAAAACAGCAGGAGAATAGAATAAGGGAACTGTGGTAAAATGTAATCCCACCTTTAATTAATGCCTTTTAGCAAGAACGTACTGAAATGGTAGTATACACTAGGTGATCTCATTTGGATCCACTTATGGAGGAGGAATTCTGCCGGACCCGTCATCTAGTAAATTGTGCCAAACAATGTGATCAACATCGAAGGGAATAATTATATGGAAAACCTGAATCTCAGAATGCTCTCGAATCTGAATAATTCACCATCGCTATTTTTGGACAGCAGTAGAGGAACCCAGGGTGGTCAGAGACCGCCAACCACTTGAATATTCTCGAACGACTTACAAATGCCTGCAGCGACAAGTAGCTCTCTGAAGTCTATGGCTTAAGGTTCAACGATATTCAGTATTGATGCTGGTCCCAACGGATTTTTCAGACTCTTCGGGCTGAAGGTACATGGTCAGGCATCCACTTCATTCGGTACCTGTTAGGTTGCGATGCTCGTTCGTTATATTCGATCTAACTACTTATTGCATGTCGGCTTTTTACACGATTCACGAAATATACGACTCCTGCCCGGTTGCTTAGTTTTGTTCTTCCGTCGCCTCATTCGCGCGCATTCAGTGTATATGAAAAAGTAGTGGTTGACCCCTGTGTGTTTCAGGGTCAAAATGGAAGCTGCTTCGGAACTTATGAATCCATCACAGATTTCGGTTGTCGACCAGCAACTAAGTGGTAACACCTGTTACCGTAACAGTGATTATTAAATTTTCAGCTATTTATGAGCATCTCGCCCAAATTTGGATTACACATGCACTTAATTCAGGGAGTCAGCGAAAGGAGGTTTATGTCCATGGTTTCCTACCGACCGCCTTCATTTACCTAAATCGCAAGTTGGACCTCCGTCCTTATGAAGCTAGACAGGTTATCAAAGGGAAACGGCAGAAAACTTTCAGTTGGCTTTCCCTGTGGTTAATAATAAACTCTAGAACAACTTCAGGGAACACTTAATAACAGAAGATGGTCATGTATGAATAGGTAGTCCTCTGCTGGTGATATCTTCAGCTGCAAACAAACTGTTTGACGCAAATAAACTTCGTCTGTGAAAGTTGAAGCATGTCGCTAACATATCCAGAAGGGGTCAAAGGGCACTATGCCCCCATCAGTTAGGCAAACTCTTTGGGGGAAGCCAGCCGTAGGACTCCATCGTGAACAGTCAGCAGCCAACCGCTTAACCTCAGGAAGGCGAGACATCCACGCGAATGATTATCACAACCGTCTTGGATTGACATTCGACCCAACTTCGTCAACGGATAGACAGAACCCCAGTGCGCCTTAGTGGTGATGTCTGTGTATGATCAAAAGCAATCAAAGCTTCGTAGATTTAACTCTTAGATCCTTCGTGTTCGCTCTGTAGCTGTCCTTCAACGCAAGTAAAAACATGAATAAATAACTGGAGAATCACCTACACCGGCAAAAATGTACTTTGCTGAAGGAGCTTCAAATATGACTCTGTTCACACACAAACAGCCACAGTAGCCTTTAGCCCTGACAATTGGAGAAAGGATTCGTTTATTGGGTGTTTAGAAAATACGCGAACAGTTACGAAAAACATGCCGACCAGATCTGCCCGCGGATGTCATCATTTAACACACGTAGGAAACAAGCGGTGCCACCATATATTTGATGTGTTACAGGGTGCTTGAATCCATGGACAAAAGTAAAGGCGTACAGCTCAGCAAAGTACTTTACTGCTGCTAGTCATCGTACCTTTAATCAGGCCTTTTGACGAAGGGGTGTGACCAAGCATCAGGGCTATTGCGTACACTTTTCTTCTGCGTTCCGCCGTTCATGCTATCTGGCGTATCCAAGGCTTTTTGTTGGAATTCCGTAGGCAGCAAAATACAGTGATTCCCAGACAGGTGATCATAATCTAAAAGAGAGAAAGCATGAGGAACGACTGCGTGAGCCGGCGCGCAGAAAGTACTTCAAGACGACAAAGGAAAATCTAGTCTGCAAATGAAACAATCGAAATATTTCTTATGTTAGCCACGTCCACAGTGAGGATGACAACAACTGATCATTCAGTCAACACGCCAAACAGCTCATATGTTCAGGTATATTATCCTTCGCCCACTGCCTCCGGTCTTCAACCCAAATATGCGTTTCCTGCACGTTCATTATGTCATCTCCTTAGTTGGTCCGGTGAGGAATTAACTAGGAAGTCAGTGAATGTTGGTGTCTGACAGTCAATATCCATGCATCGATAGCGGCCATATCGGTCTTTACACCTTGACACCTTAGGACTCGAACGCTGAACTCTCCCTTGAGGACACCAACCAATTATGCGGCACAGAGTCGTCTAAATATGAGGTATCCGTGGCTTCTGGTTATCTCCTCCGTGTTGAACGTGGAGCCTTGAAAATGAACAAGATGTTCGTGGTAGTCGTTTCGTCTGTCAAGAATGCATTCACAACCTGAAAAATGGTTTGTAAAATATTCATCCTGTCAAAATAAGAGCGTCAAATATCCATGGCCCGCTGATTCGGTGACTTTGTCTGTTCCTGTGACCGTTGATCAGTGTCGAAGTTTAGGTGTTCGTACGCCTATGCTTTCATATCTCTGCTATTATGTCTTTGTTTAGTCATAAACCCAAACTGGTCCACATCAGACTAATAACTGAGTAGTTCATTTCGGAACGAATGCTGGGATGTGGTTTATGTAGTCTGAAGCCAACTTTCGTGAATCGCTCATCACAGATCAACGTTTTCCATCCCTGGCATTTCAAGATGCATTGTCAGGGGACTGCAGAAGGCGTCATTATCCATACAATCAGCCGTACAGCTGGTCATACATCACAGTGCATAAAACGGCTGTTCTGAAGAAAGACAACTTCGCAGGTAAACGCAGCCCGTTTTCTTCTTTACGGGTGATCGCACGAAAGTTAGCGTCCTTACAGCAGTATTAGACATACCAAGGAAACTTACTGTTTTCACTTCTTTGAAGGAAGAACCGGAACCCCATGGCAAAGTTCGAAGAAGGCAGGTCTACCGTAGACTCGATTTTCACGAACCCTTGCGGTGTCCTTCTTCTGTCCAGTGCCTCAGTGTTCTTGATAAGCTTATGTATTCCACGCAACAGCTTACTTGCAGATGCCAGTTAGAGATAGCGTGTTTAACAACGGTCTACACACCTGTGAAATATCTCATTACAGCTCAGTTTAAACAGGCTAACACAATCAACCCGTCCTGAACATCACTTTGGCCAGGGCATTTAGAACTTTTCAGGGGAAATCCAGTCGCGCATAGCAACCATCGTCATGTATTACATCATAATGGGCTCATCTGACGATGTGGTGATGCTGAATAATGGGTATGGCTGCATGGGCTAGCTAGCTTTTGTATGCCCATTGTATAGTCCGGGGGCGTTACCGCTCCACACATCTAAAATGTAGTTAGCTGTTTTAATTTCCCCCACCGGGTTTTCAACCCTGACTCGCACTGTTTCGTCGTTCGTCTAGACCCATTAGGAGGACTGATCAGCAACGGCGAATGGACACTTGAGCTCACTAGCTTCCACATCGACAGTAAACATCGCTGATGATGACCGTCACGGTTTTGGAGGAGTTGTTTAGTTAGTTTGCACATCTCCATTTTGAAAATACGGCCCCCTTTCAAAGACAAGCCTATTCCTCTCTTCTGATCTCGCAAGCTCAGGCTTTGAAGGAGCACAGCAAATCCTTATTCCGGGAGTTCCATCTGCCAAAATCGCTACCCTATCCTGGTTGGTCACTTGTTATCTTCGTGTTCGTTCACTTCACCGCCACTAGTCTTCATCTGTTCATTTGTCCGCACCTTTGTTTTTCCTTGAATTGGATCAGATCACTTCGTGTGAAACGACATGCGCCTGATAAACGTGGTAGATATGCAGTGCGAGTAGGTCTGATAATTCGGAGAAAGTGTCCGAAGTTCGGTTCTTAATTACCCTAACCAGCACCGGTGGCTGAAATACACGTGACTAGCTTTTACTGGATACAACTATTCTTAGAACCTTCTTTCGTACCAACCAATGTGGTTATGGTAGTCGACTTTTTATCTTTTCGCACTAATGCTGGGAAGTGAGATTTTCATGAGACATTTAAGTCTACATAGTTATTTGGAAAAATGCAGAAACATCTTCAGTTATAGGAGTAATGCAGGACTCAAGCGTTTCCGCAACACGTATCGTAATTTGGTGGTGAAACCAACGACGCAGAACATTATTCCTGGCTACAAGTCCGGTGAAAAGGCGAAAGCCGGGAACTACAGACCTATCAACGTACCTCCAGTCGTCTCCCAAATCATGGAAAAAGTGACTGAGAGTGGCACGTCTGGCAACATACTTGGCGAAAACCTCATCAAAAAGTCCCAGCACGGTTTTATTAAAAATAGGTGATACGTAACGATAAGAAGGCAGCCAATAAGGGAGTTTTCAAGTCGTGATCGGATCATGTCCAGGTCATGATTTATGCATCCGCTGACATAAGAACCTGATTGGAGGAATTCGACCTCGTACAAGAAATCTGATTGGTTCACTTGTGGCTTCACTTTCCGAGAGTTTTGTAAACACATATATGTCGCGCATTTGTCCAATAAAAGTTGTGGTTGTCGCTGCTCTTGTATTCACAGGCCGTCTTTGTCCTCTGATTTTAAGCGGCTAAGTGAAGAGAAGGTACTGAGGGAGGTCAGTCGTAAAGGTATTCAGTTGAGGTATCTATTGAGTCCGAGTATTCATCATACCCACGCGCACAACCACTCCCCTGGTCACAACATATGGCGACGAAAATTGTTTGATTGACAATGTCTTTCTCGTTGGATGGCCTTAAATCCATTTTACAACTGCAGCAAGCTCAAAATGAAGCAGCTCAACTG